GGGGGGAACTGCGCAAAAAACGCATCCTCGTACCGGCAGCCGGTACGCTTTCTACTAGGTTTTAATCTTCAGATTCTGATCTTGAGATGTTTCTAGGAAAAATCGCCTGTTCGGAAGGCCATGCCCTGGTATTCGTTATGATCGCTCGCTGTTTTTCATTGCTCGTGCACGCTTAAGTTTGAAATTACTCGCAGTTTAATTTGTGAACTAGGAAATTTAGATCAATGGACGTAACGTGTTCACCATTGAATATGACCGTGAAAGTAAACTGGATACGGTACGGAATGGTTTGGATGAGGAGGTGCTGGGTATTCAGTACAACGATGCGGGCCAAATCATCGGGTTCATCCCACTGCGCCAAAACGATGCTCACTTAGCTGCATTACAAATTATGTACGATGCATCCGGAAGGCAAAATCAGATTTCTTGGGCAAATTCCTCGCTGATTTTTGAATATGATCGTTTGAATCGTATTGCTTCAGCTGCTGCGCTTGCTGCAGGGACTAGTTTTCTTCAGAGGTAAAAGGATTTTTGCTCGTATATTACCGAATTATTCTTTAAGAATCACTGTTTTTACCATCATGACTGCAGCGTGGCAATGTTTTCAACCGCGACAAGATCGCGTCTCTTCAAAGACGTTCGCTTCAATAATTGTTTCATCAGCTAATTCTGGTTTTATCGGCAAAAACAGTTAGATTCTTCATTAGGTGGGTGGCACGCAGGATGTTGTTGCGGCTACGAGATAGGTTTTGACGGATAAGAAATGTTGTTCGATGTAAATGGTTTGTCGTGTACAAATGAACTATACTAGACTCATCGGATTTTTTCATTCATGCTCATACAGCCAGGTCCTGCGTGTCATTCATCCAGGTAAAGTATGGCTGCTTATATGATCACGAAAAAGCATTCCATGCATCTTTCGCTTTAGCTCTCTCCTGTGACAACGAGAACTTATTCATTCCTGGTGTCACAAGCGTGCTAACTGAAAGTCAGTGAAAGATTGGCTCATCATGAAATTCAGACCACCCATTAC